GAATCATGACATTGAAGCGCCGCGTTAATATAAATAGCAAATCCTTGTTGCTGTCCGGCGGACGAAAATGTCGCATTACCGTAATTTTGCCATTGATGTTGATTTCCTTCAGAGGGCGCAAACCCTCAGGTGTAACTAAATCTATTTCCACCTGATTATTGCGGGCAATAATCAAATTCAAGTCTGTCGGCGATGTGAAATTACCTGGGCAATGTGTATATATAAAAGCATGAGTTTGTATAACTTAACAAAATGCAATGCAAATATGCCTAATAACGCCGGCTACGAGTTAGCCACAATATGCATGCGGAAAATTCATTTCGCCATAGCGTACTTACCCGTGAGGCAAGCAACAACCGCTGTTGGCTTTTGTGCAGTCACCACATAGTGATGCGACATTTTCTCAAAGTATGTTAATGCAAGACCAGATTAGACAACAATGTGAAAAGCACGCGTTGTTTTACGGAAATCTACTCAAAAGCAACTTTGCAGCAAAGCAAGACAGACTAACAAAACGCGCTAAAAAAAACTCATCTTGTTGAGTCGGGCTGACTTTTACTGCGGTCTGGCAACGCCAAAAACACAATGTTGCATTGATGTCTGTGCTGCAAAAATATCAAATGTCTCTCGTTACGCAACACTATTTATTAATGGCGACCGGACGACTTGCTGAACCCTACATACGTGTTTGAAATCATAGAAAAATCATTTTTCAAGCCGATTTACGGTGTAAAGAACACAATATTCTAGTATAATATATAATTAAATATACGCTTCAAACATTGTGCTGTGTTTTGTTGCTACAAAGTGCGTCAAAAAAGTGCCTGAAACTGCCATCGTTGGTCTTGGAAAGAACATGGCGAGACTAACTAAAGTCTATAATACTGATGAAGATGATTCTAATTATGTGGGAAGAAGGCATTTACCCTTGGTGGCAGGCGATAAGCTAATGGTAAGTGACAAAGCTGCACAGCATCAGATTAGTATAATGTAAAATTAACTATTGCTCTCAAATGTCATAAAAGTTAACAATTTGATGACCCCCTCACAAATTCCATATACTTATGCATTTTTGTATCGTATGTGTGAGCGTGTGTGTAATGATGGTTTCTTTGTATGTGTGCACATTGTCAAACTTTCATAACACGTACGCGTGCATCTGTGTATGCCTATGTACGTAGTAAACACATACAAGTACATACATAAACATACATACATATATGTATATACTCATTGACTGCACCCATAAATGAGAAACTTTGTTTAATTAAACTTCATATCGAGATATTTCTGTATGCTACTAGAAGTCTTTGCAATAATAAACAGCCGCTTAGAAACAGTTCGGCAATTCTAAGCACCTGCCCGACTCCCCGCTGCACCTTACAAAGAGTCGCCATGTTGCTGAAGTGGCAACACCGACAAAAAAAAAAAAAAACAGAAAAGAAAAATTTAACAAAAACAGGTTTCAAATGCATTTTTCTTTCTCTTGTACGTGTACGTGTGTGTGTTTGTTTTTTATGTTTGGTATTATTTTTTACAAACACTGTTTTCTTACTTGCTTTTAAATGATCTGGATTTAAATCATTCTCTTTATACGTGATCGCCAGATGCTAATGGACCTGAACAGCAAAGGACTTGTCATTGACAGCCCACAGATACGGGGTCGCGAACTGGAGGAATTCTCACGTAAATTTAATCTGCTCACAGAGACGGAACGCAAGCAATCGCTCGTGATTGATAGCACCGGCTTCATTTCGGTGCTCAATCAGTGCGTGCAGTGTGTGGGTTGTCGGCGACGGGTGGAGCGTTTGTTTTACCAGCTAGCTGAGTCCGGACATAAAACGGTTGATCCGCTTGAGCTGCGCAACAATTGCACCCTGGGCATAACGGAGGAGAAATTAAAAACGCCCCAAGCACTGGGCACGCTGCTATATCGGCATCACGAGGTGCTCAACAATCTGCTCGATAATAAGCTGCGCAACAAGACGCGCTGTGTGCTGCATTCGTTAGACACGTTCCGTGCCAAACCTTTTTCGGAAACCTGGCGGGAAGTGTGGTCCGCGATGAAGAGCACTTGCCGCACGGAGGTGACCATCATTGAGACGAAGGAATTGCAGGAAGTGCTCGACAAGTATCTGAAGAAGCACAAGTTTTGTGCTGGCTGTCGCACAAAGGTAAATAACCAACCACACAATCAGGGCTGTCATTCCATAAAATAATTATTACTCTAATACAGATCGAGCGTGCCTATAAAATACTCATTGGCGAGATATCCACCAAGGAGAAGGGCTATGCGGCACAGCTATACGCGCACATTCGCAAATGTGTGCCCGACGAGCACATACATGTGAGCACGAATAAAATTGAGTTCCTTGATGCGCTGATCAAGCGTGCTGAGCCGGAGGTGAATGGAAGTTACTCGAAGCTGCGCGAACGCCATGCGAAAACGTTGGAAATTGCCCAGGAGGAGGTGCTCACATGCGTTGGCATGATCATGTATGAGCGCTTGCGTCGCATTTATGTTAGTCTGCGTGAGGAGGAGCGCGCCTGCCAAGTGCTGGCCGCTGTGGGCGTACATGCGCTCTGTCGCAGCTTTCATGAGCGTGTGGAGCAGAAGCAGGGCATTAGCAACTTGGAGCTGCTCTATCAGGAGATCAGTCGGGCCGAGAAGGCCAAGGAGCTGAAGCGTGAGCAAAAGAAGCTCAAGAAGAAGAAGAAGAAGGATGAGAAGAAAAACATGCATCGTCTGTGTGAGAACGATAGCAATGCGAACGACGCTGCCGAAACGGACTGCGAGGAGGAAGAGGATGGCGCAAACGGTGAGGCTGAGGCAAACACTGAACCAACTGTGGATGCTACTCTAGATGATGCTGTCGACGATGGCATTGTTATGGTCTGTGCTGACGCTGACGCTGATGTCGATGCCAATGCTGATGCAGAACCAGAGCCAAAGCCGCCGACGCCAAGTGAGAAACCAACGAAATCGAAATCGAAGAAGCAACCGAAGAAAAAGAAGCAAAAGTCTACTAGCAAAAAACATAAAAAGAAGTTGTGTGTTGATGAGCACCTGGATGCGGTGCCCAAGGCTACAAAATGCAACGACTGTTTAGCACCCATCCCGAATTGTCCCTGCGAGCAGGATGTGCGCGACTCTGGCTATGGCAGCGATCCACACGCATCGCATGCCAATTCGCGCATCTCCAGTGCAGTCTCATCGCTGGAAGGCTCTGAAGTCTCCTGCTCGGACGGACTGTGCAATCATCATAATTACGACATGATGGCGGAAGAAGAAGAGGAGGAATCCGTTGTTGATGTTACGGCACCCAACAGTTATGTCTCCGATTCGGTCTATGGTCAGCAGACGCAATCGGACGATAAGTTCTCATTGCTGCAGATGTTGGTTAGTAGCCACGATCATGCCATGACTCCAAGCTCTTTTATAATTCCCGATTTGCTTACATTCAATTCCAGGACTTTTTCGACGATGAGGACGATGAGAACTGCTGTTACATTCCCCAAGAGGTGGTGCTGGCCTATCAATACCAGCGCGAGCAAGTACAGCGTCAACGTGAGCAGCTGCGCGCCACATTGCGTCGGAATTTCGAGCGCATGTGTCTACAGCATGGTGTGCCCGTAGGAGGAGCACCTACCAATGCCACCTCAACTGGCCATTAAAACCTGCATTAAACCGTTGTAGTTATTTAGCCGCGCGACGCGGCGCTTGCATTCAAAATACATACTTATAATTTTTTTTGTTTTTTGAAATAAATGAAGTATAAAGTTATGCTTATCAATATGTTAAAAATATATATATATATATGTATATTTATGTGTTCGTGTATTGTTTAGCTGTTGCGGCAGTCCTCGTGGAACGGCTCTAATGTGCGCAAGTCCCTCCATGTTGGCGGCAAGCCGTTCGCAATGTATTTGCCGCAACGCTTGCAGGGCTCCAAGAAGAGCTTGATGTGACTGTTGAGCCAGGTTACGTAGCTCTTCACGGCCAGATCGGGTAACGTGGGCGAGAAGAAGTGCAACATGGCCGAATGGGCGTGCTCCTGCACCTTGCGAAACACCTCATAGCGCGACTCTGCCCACAGATCGTCGTGCTCCAGCGTCTCGTCATAGCCCTTGATGGTCACCCATTCGATGAGCACGCCCTTAAAGACAATCGCTGCCTTGAGCACGTTGCTGATGGTGACTATGGCCACAGCATTGGAGCCAAACGGATGAAATACTTTATACGTTGTATGCGGAGGATGATTAATGTCACTCAGCAGCTTATCAATGTGACTAAGCAAAAAAGAAGATGCGTGTAAACCAAAGTATATGATGTTAATTTTTAGTCAGACACTCACTCGGGATCGTTGTTGAAGGAAGAGAAAGGCAAGCGCTGGCGCTTCTGCGAGCAATAGTTGTAGGAGCGACGTAGCGTGTTCTGATTGAGGTTGTTGAACGCCAACATGCTATGATCATGCACCTTATCGATCCACTTGTAGCTGTTCACCAGCTGTGGATAAAGAGCCTGACGCTCCTGCGTCGTTTCCTGGGCAAGAAATGTGGTGTTGCCCAAGTGGTAGGCTGACGGCGGTACCTGGAGCCCATTAACAAGCTGCTCCAAGTCACTGTAAGCATTAAAACACGATCAATTAAGTGTAAAACATTCACATTTAAATCTACTCACCGTATTTGCGAGTTGAGGGCTGTAAATCTTTCCTGAAAATCGTGCACAAATTTGTTGCGGCTTTCTTCGATAGCTTCGCCATCGGTGCCATCGGCCAGGTGCTCAAAGCACTGACGGACACTTGAGCGTAAGTTCTTAACAGCTGTTAAAGTCTGATTTAATTTATCCATTTGCATTCGAGCAACAAAAATTTGTTATTCTTTTGGAAAATAAAAGTTGTTTATATGCCGATAAAACATCATCTAGTGCCTATCGGTTTGCCGCCACAATTGATGACCCGATTCGCAGCTGGCAATGCTGCATTCTGGATGTTGGCATTCGCGTAGTCACAATACTCGGTCACATTATACACCATTCAATTCAGTAGAAATTTTGTGTTTGTGTCGCTCTCATTGGTTTAAATAAGCCGTCAATAATGGGCAATAAATCTTCGCTGTTTCTGCGGCACGAGGAGATAGCACAGATACAAAATGAAACTGGCTGTAAGTATACAGAATAGCACAACAATAGCTGGTAACCAAACTAAGCTAAGGTAACTAACGTAACCTTGGACTTGATAACCCTCCAGCTGTAAATTTCCCAAAATTTCAATTCAAAACAAATACGCAGTTGCTAAAAGCTTTACATTGTATTCATATACTTTGCACTTAAGTGGCGAAACTAATTATAGCCTTTCCTCGTCGCTGCAATTATTTGCCATAGTCCAAAATCAATTAGCATATGAACTCTACCCACACCAGTTGGCAGAGAGAAGAGAGAGAGCCAGCGAGACTAGAGTGTGATTGAACGTGTAACTGTTCTTCTTGAATGCACTCAAAAGGGCTTCATGCATTTATGTAAGATGGTATCATAAATTGAGTTTATGACGTCACTGGAGCAAAGGCTACTTACGCGCTGCCTTTTGATGTTTCCCCTCCAACCCATACACAAGCAAACGAATGTATGCATGTGTTTATCAGTTGTTCGAGTAGGTGTAATTCGTGTGTGATAAGGCCCTCAGCTATAACGGTATATATCCAACGAGTGTTCATATCTCTGATAATGGCACATTTCTACATTTCTTATCAATCGACTGGACTCCAACCTCTTACGTTTTCTCTGCCCTCCACTCTTTGCAGTTACACCCAATCAGATTGAGCGTCTTTACTCGCGCTTCACCTCGCTGGATCGCAATGACTGCGGCACGCTCTCCCGCGAGGATCTGATGCGCATACCCGAGCTGGCAATCAATCCGCTCTGCGAGCGCATCGTGCACTCTTTCTTCGCCGAGAGCTCCGACGATCGGGTGAACTTTCGCCAGTTCATGAATGTGTTGGCTCACTTCCGACCGCTGCGGGACAACAAGCAGAGCAAGCTGAACAGCCGTGAGGAGAAGCTAAAGTTCGCCTTCAAGATGTACGACCTGGACGACGATGGTGTCATCAGCCGGGACGAGCTGCTCTCGATCCTCCACATGATGGTCGGCGCGAACATCAGTCAAGATCAATTGGTCAGCATTGCAGAGCGCACAATTCTGGAGGCGGATCTGTGCTGTCAGGGCAAGATCTCGTTCGAGGACTTCTGCAAGGCGCTGGAACGGACCGATGTCGACCAGAAGATGTCCATTCGATTCCTCAACTAATGCCGCAGCATAAGCAGCGAAACAAAATTTAAAATTTCTTAGTCACTGTGAACCAAATAGAGTTTAGTCCAATTAATATATATACACGCATATATATATAGATAGGCATATATATATGTGGGTATATATCAAGTCCGAGGCATATTCAATTGTATTAGTAACTTATATACTATGATTATTGTTGATTGCTTTTACGCTAGCTAATTTCATTCCGCTCTAAAGTGAAATTCATGCATTTGTTTAACGGTCAGCCTAAAATATTTATTAACTTGAGTTTTGGTTTTTTTATTAGTTAGTTCTGAGCTTGAAATAAAAACGTGTAAATATGTATGAATGTGGTTTATTGTAGTAATGGTCTAACCAGGCGGTAACTGCACAAATAGATGTGGTTAAAATATATAATATATATGTATATAACTAATAAGTCTAGCCAGAATCCATGCCAGGTGCTATCTATGTGGTCGAGGAGACGGCCAATTTCTTCAGATGCTCCATGAACAGCTGCAGCGAGACATCATCCGTGAGCACGGGAGCGCCGCCATCCTGTTGAAGAGGATTCAAATGGGAGTTAGCAGAAGGAATTTTCGAATATGGATTATCTAAAAAGTGGTTTTCGCTGCAGCAGCGCCAACACCAAAAGCGGAGCAGAGAGTTGTAGAAGAAGCAAAGCAACTTAGAAACCAAACCCAAGAGGAAATTATATTTAACCAAAGAGGAAAAAACAAAATAGAACTGTTTGTGTTTTACTACCGTCGTCTGACCAATTGGCGCCTGCGAGTGACAACAACAAGAAGAACAACCACGAGGGGAGAAGAAGGAGCAAAAGGCAGTTGAGCGGACACAATGAGAAAAGTAAAACAAAAACGAAAACGTAATGTTTCAATAGATTAAAAATCAATAATATACATGGATCCCAGTTAATGGACGTACCTGGCCGTAGGCATACATGTTGTTATGCGTCTGCGAGGGATTGACTTTGGAGAGCAGGAAGCGTGCCTGCGAGCCGCCATGCTCGGTGTCAATGTAACGGGGCATAGGGAAACGCGTCTGCAGAATCTCCTGGGCATCGTCAACTGGCGCCTGCAGCAGCTGCTTGAAGTTCTCATACTCGGGCATATCCTGATATTTGAGCGCACGCCATTGGGCAATCGTCTCGCCGTGATAGATGAGTATCTGGAAGAAGGTGTCCATCAGCAGTATGCGATCCGCTTGAATCGAAGCGGTATCTAGCAGCACCGGCTCCGGCGGCCCATTAAACGAATAGCTATAAAGAATGGGCTGTATCATGATCAAGGACTGTGTGAGGTCCTCGCGCATTAGCATGTGTCGATAGAATGTGGTCTCATCGGGCGAATTGTTGAAGACCTGCAGGAACTGCGAACGCCGCAAGTGGTACATGAACTGCGGAAAGAGGCTGAAAGTGGGCGACAGACGGAAACTGTTCGGATCATCCTTGGAATACTCGCCAAACTTCTGGCACTGCAAGAGAGAAGTCGAAGTGGATATTGAGAATTGATTATGGACATATTATTGACACGGATTTACCAATCGGATCAACTGGCGATCCACCCAGCGCAGGATGTCCGGCCCCTCGTCTGTTTCGGCGCGGTAGACAACCATGCGTGCCATCAGCACCGCAGCCGCCTCCTGATCGAAGCCTGCGCTGATGTGCTGTACATTGGTGTTGGCATCCGCCCAGCTTGAAGACAGAATAAGAGTTAGTTTTATATAGCAAAGGTATATATGGCTGGGAGCTCTCACTTTCTGGCCAGTGTGGTGACGCGTATGCGCCGCTGACCGCTTGGATGCTGGTATTGGGTGATGAACTGTATGCAGCCGCGTCCGCCTTGCGGTATGGGCGCCGCATGCTGGTTGACCACCTCGAAGAAGAAGGCGACAGTGGAGCTGGGATTGAATGCACACAATTTCCATTGCACTGTATTGCCCATGCCGATCTCCACATCCGACACCGACGGGCTCTTCACATTCAGCGACACACACGAGCCGATCCCGCCAGAGATTTTCAGCTCGCGCGAGCACTTCACCTCGAGCGTGGCATTGAATGCCATCTTTAGATCGTTTCGCGAATCGCGCGCAAACACGCGCTGGAATGTCTGCTTAAAGAGCGACGAATTGAATGAGTCGCCCATGACCATGTGACCGCCCGTGGAGTTGCACAGCTGTTTCATCTCCATGAGGCCGGTCTGGTCAAGCGCGCACGAGTATATATCGATGCCATGGCCATTGGTAGCTGCCCGCAAGGCCAGGGCATCGTAATGTTTGATCGCTTTCTTCATATATTTGGCATTGTCCTTGTGTATGTCATGATGGGAACGTATGGGATGCTTGAGTTCATCGTCAACCACTTGGCCGGGGCCCTGGGAGCAAGGGCCACCCACAAAGGTCATGATCCGACCGCCCGTATTCGGGTACGTGCACTCCAGCAGACCAACCGCAATCGAAAGTGCGGCGCCTGTGGAGCGCAGATAGCGCTTGCCCTGCGGCACCGGCCAAGGGTCGCGTTGCAATTCGCTCAGCAGATCACCCAGTGCCGTGTCGCACTGGCTGATCGGCTGCAGGAAGCGATGAGCGGGTGGCAAATGTTGTCCGGCCCCCCCTACGCCCGGCGCATTTGGCATCTGACCCGGCTGACCTGGTTGCTGCTGCTGCTGATGTGGCGTTGGTGCCACCCCACCGCGTCCAATGCCCAGCATATCGTGAACTTGCTTTGCCGTCAGATCCTTGGTGCCTCGGAACACATAGCTCTTGGAGCAGCCATCAGTACCCAGTTCGTGCACCTGAATCATCTTGCCGAAGGTGATGAGGCCCACGAGAGCATTGGGCGGCAGCAAGCTCAGCGACATTTGCAGCGAGTCTTTCAGAGCGTCCAGCTCCTCCTCATCCATGCAGGTATCCACCAGAAATATGAAGACAGGCGGCATTGTGGCCGCCCTGGCGATGGTGTATTCGATGGTACTGAAGCCAGGTATCAGCTCAGCGGGCTGATGTTGCTCCGATATGGCTGCATATTGTGGAGGAAACTGAAATGGCACGCGTTAGACTACAGACCGGAAAGTCCAAGTGAAATACTCACGGGATTGCGTTGAAAGCAAAAGTTGCACACCCAAAGCTTGGCACGATAGTCAACTTGGCACAATGGATTCAATATGGCGCGGCAATTGCTACGCGTGCACAGCACCGGCTCATATTGTATCGGTGGCAAGTCGGGACGCTCCTTGATGGGTTGATAGAGACACGCAAGCGGGACGACCAGGCGGCTGGCATCGATGCGACTTGATGGCCAAACATTCCAAGTAAGGCGGACGCCGTCACGATCTTCGTTTTGCTGGATGAACTCCTCATAGGTAGTCATCGTTTTGATATTCTTTTTTCGACGCTTTCACTTCGATTAATAACTTAAAATTAATTGTAACACAAGCAAGTCTTATTGGAAAAATCGTTTGGCCAGGCCACGTCACGGATTTGACAGTTGGTTGCATAGCAGGCAGCTTGTCAACGTTGACACAGACAGCAAATTGGGCATGCAAACAATAACAAATTTTTTTTGTTAAATATATGTTGATGAAATCAGAAAATAGCACAGTAGCATACGTAATTTATTTTAATTCATTAAATTGCAAAATATATAGATTTATTGTATAATTTATTTATTTAAATATGCTCTCGGCATGTACAAACAAGTTAGCAGCCCTATTTTCAAATGCAGCCCTGATGCAGCTGTTTACTCGTCGCTGTCATAGTGTGCGTGTGTGTGTGTATTTTTTTAGAGTTGTTTCTAAGATGGCGACGAAAAAAACGCGTCTTATGTGAATGCAAATGCAATCATAACAACTTAAATTTTATGCTAATAAATGTGCGCAAATCTGAAACAAAACTATTGAACAACAGTGCTGAATAAGTGCGGAATATTTTACATGTGAAATTTGGTGCGAAAGTTTTGTGAAAATGGCCACAAATATGTATCGAGTCGGAGGTGAGAAAATTTTTTTCCATACTCGCTTTTCTATCATCTTTCGTTATCGGCGCCGTCTCACTGTTTCGCCTGGTCGTTTTATGTGCGTATGATTGTGTGTGTGTGTGTGTATGAGACTCCCGAATTAAGGAAATAATGAAAGTGCATTTAATTATCAAATATTATCAAATGTCCAAGCACCAATATCTTCAATCTTCTGTTATCAATGACAGTGATGATGATGATGTGAAATGCGTTTTCACATATGCCTTGAAATTGTGTCGAATTGCCGACGCGAGTTTTAACAACGTAGACGATTTTTCAACACCAACGAAGCGGCAATGGAACATCGAGTAACCGGCCATGGAGAGAGGGGTTATGTGTAGTAGTATGACAACCGAATTGTCGCAGCTGCAGCAAGTGTTTTTAGTACATGTTTCTGTTGCCCCGATAAGCATTAGCACTGAAATATGTGTGTGTGTATGTGGTAATGTGTGTGTGTGTGTGTACAAGCTTGTGCATTAGGGTTGGGGTTACTGATGAAATGAAATTGCATTGACAAATCCGCCTGCCGATCAGCATGTGTGTATGTATATGAGAGTATAAGTGTGTGAGTAATAGTTCTTGCGTGTGTGCTGTGCAATTGAAAGTATATTTTGTGATTTTTACGTGTCTTTTGCTTTGTTTTTGCTATTGGGATCGTCGTGTTTTCTTATGCTAATGAGTTTGCAATTTTTCTTTGGCACAGTATCTCACGCTCTGAGTGAATTTTCCCTCTTTTTTTTTTTTTTTTGTTGTACCCATTTTACGCACTCATGTTGGTAGCTCACTCGTTTACTTGCTCGCTTGCCGATGACGTTATTGTTGTCTTCACCTGCCTATGATATAGAACAATGGTTGTTCAGCTCGACCAAATCAAATGCAAATGAACTGTAAATAGGAAAATGCAAATATCTAATTAAAGCAATCAAAATAAATAATAAAAATACAACAGCAAAAATAAATAAATAAGAAAACCCAGCACATGAATAAATTACAAAATTTTACGGTATTTTCATATGTTTCAGTATGGGTGTGTATGTTGGTCTCGCAGTGCACGCGTTGGCTTCGAATTTGTCTCCATCAGCGCTTTTGTTAGTCACTTTTAATAGCCACACGCACACATACACAAGCATACGCACACACACGTATACACAGCAGCCCAAATGTCGTCGCAGGCTATGGCGACACTTTCTTTTTCATCTCTTTTTATATCAGCCAAATGCAAAAGATACATTTTCCTTTTATAATATGCCTGGCGTGTTTTACCGCTTGATCGCTGCTCTTTTTTCCTTTTCTTTTGTGTCATTTTCTCTCTTCTATCGGCTTTCGTTGCTTCTGCTGCTGCTGCTGTTGCCGTGGTCAAAACCCAAGCAACGGTTTCTGCGACAGGTTCCGCACCGTCGCTCTATGTATGTTTGTGTGTGTGTATTCAGCCCCTTGCCTCTGTCCATGGACATCGTTGTTGTTTCTGTTGCGCGAGCTGAATGGATGGATGGATGCCCACATTTGTATTTAATTGAGCAATGCGCATACTTTTTCACTGTACTGTGGCCGTAATTAAACGGCGTGTCCACTGCCAGCGAACACTGCTATAAACTGTAAACTTCAAGCAGAAGATTGTTAACGGAACGGACAGGAAAGAGTTTACCAAAACACATAAGAAAAATGGGATTATCGATGCTATAAATTATTAATTGCCCATAATTAAGTTAAGTGTTAGCACAATGAAAGATAGGTGACCTAAAGCTTCTTGCTGTAGTTGTTATTGTTATCATCGATAAATGAATACTTTATGTAAACAAACCATTTATCGATTGTTAAGTGTGCTAATAAACTCGCACAGTAGCTAAATAATTATATATGTATATATGTATAACAAAAACTATAAATAGAATGATTAGGGCCATTTTTAATTTTTGATTCGCTTTTGAATACGTTTGTATATATGTATGAATATATCTGAGCATTTTAATTAATTTTGATATTATATTATGTATGTATTAAAATTCATAAATTAAAATTTTTTAGTTCTTGCATATACTATACACAAAATTTAATTAAATTGACTACTTACTATTCAGGAATATATGATATGGAAATTAGCTTGAGAGCCAAACGTGGCACATCACATGTATTTAATATCATTAAATACTTTAGTCGTGGGCTCGTGCGTTTAGTCACAGATAACCCAAATTATGCTCATCTCTAATTCCTGACGTCTGCCTATATTTATTTGTTTTTTTCCCTTGCGTGTGTATGGGTATGTGTGTGTGTTTGTGTGACTTCATACAGACGTTTGTATGTGTGCGTGTTTGATGAGTCTGTTATTTGAGACTGTATGGGTGTATGAGTGTATGTTTGAATGCGTTTTACCTGATGTTGTTGGCTTCATTGGACGTTTGGGCTTCAATTTCGTTTTCCTAATGAATGATTTGCTGCCCCCTCTTTTTGGAGGCTGTTGAGTCTGTAATTATGTTTCCAGCAACTGCATATTTAAATTTTTTGAACCGTAAGTGAAATTCAATAATCCCCAATGGTTGATTTTTGCAGACTACGTCTACGTTGAGACAACGCCGAATAGTCCCTACCTGATACGTCGCATCGAGGAGTTGAATAAAAACCAAACCGGCAATGTGGAAGCGAAGGTCATGTGCTTCTACCGGCGTCGTGATCTGCCCAACCCGCTTGTACAGCTGGCCGATAAGCATCAACGTAAGTACGGCAAGGCGAAATACATACATATAAAGGCAAATATACGTATGTATATACATATAAATATGTATGTATAGAAATGTATAAGTTTTTGGTCAGCTAAGTGAGGTTATGTTTTTGCGACGAGTCGCCGTCGTGGCCTACAAATAAGTCAGAAAGCCCCATCCATACAGATCCTAAGCCCATTTTTCACCACAAAAAGCAAAGTTCGCTTGAAGACGGAAATACACCATGCGCCGCAACCAAAACCGAGCCGAAGCTGCTGCACGCCCACACACCTCAGTCAAATACCACCCGCCTCCTTTTTCACTAGCTCCCGGCATATGCCCAATGTGTGCAATGTGTCAAAGCGGAGCCCACCCAACACGTACACACACACTCACACATACTAACACACACCCACTTAGCAGCAGCAGCAGCAGGAGCGACAACAACAACAACAACAACAATAATGAAAGCTAACATCAAGAGCAACAACAACCGCAATGACAACAACTGTAAAGCATACAGCCAAAGCAAAGAGTAAACGGAATCCGAGCATCCGTAGCAACTACAACAACAACAACAGCAACAGCACATAAACATAATGTGTGTAGAGCTGCACTGTACTTCGATGTTGTTGCCGTTTTTGGTTGCCTCAATGTGGGAATACTAGGCAGCAGCAGCAGCAGCAGCAATGGTAGGTAGACTTGCTGTCTACCTCTGTGCCTCTCTCTCTAGGTGTATAAGCGAGTGTGCACGAAAATTTTCATGAGTCCTGGCGCTGCAGGAGCATCGAAGGAGCCGCGCTTTGCATTTTATGTATACATACACACACTCACCCACTGTGCCAGCCCAACAACAACTAGCAGCTATCTACATGGACAGCGCCATTTGCTGTATCTTTCTACCAAAAAGTATACATACACACACACACCGAGAGAGATATCCATGCACACACACATACACAACCCCCAATCGGTGGGGTTGGTTGTGGCCCACACGAATTCGATACGTGACCCAACGAAAATGCGTTTTTCCAACGCAGCCTTCCATACGCCACCCACCGCCCGCCGCCCACAGCCCACAGCTCACATCCCGCTACGCAACATTTCGTCGACAATGCCCATTAACAGTAACAGCCCCTTTGTTGCCGCCCCCGTTTTCAATAATGCTTCGAATGTTTTTCAACGGCTCCTTTTTCGGAGGTGCTGCTGCGACTGCCACTGCAAATGCGGCAGTGGTGCGGCGTGCGCTGTCAATTTTGCAGCCTAGCTGCTAATCACTCATTACAAATTAGCACAGCAACAGACAACATTCGACTAAGGAACACATATAGTCTATCAGCCGTGTCATGAAACAAATGAAAAAAAGTAGAAATAATCAGAGAGCTCAAAACTGGCCACGACAACGTTTCAAGCTGAAAAGCAAGAAAAAACAAAAAAAAAAAAAGTTCAGTTTTTTGACTGGCAATGACGAAGCTGAAATACCCTAAGTTCCATAATACAAATAGAAGTTGCTCTATATTTCATGCGAAAAATATAATTATTTTGTTAGAGTCCCAACTTGAAGATGAGCACAAAATAAAAACAAATAAATAAAACAAGTAAAACCTCTATTCAGTGGCTTCAACTAGGATATTTCACGTAGCCCATTCGATCTACGTTTTTTTACCATAATGAATAATCCAAATTATATGAATTGCAATATTTGGTTGGTAGCTTTTGAAAGATGTAAGATATATGATTTAGTTTATTGGTTTTATAATTAATTTCCATATACTATTTAAACAGAAGTAGCTATAGATATTTTGAAGAAACCGATCAGCGCAAGCTGTACAGGAACCTACAAAATCTCAGCATTAGATCTTATAAGACCTCAGATGAACACATCCTGGCGGGTGGACAGATAGACACATCAAATCAACTCAGCTCGTCATCCGAATCAAGAATTCATATACTTGGATCGGCCACGCCTCCTACCTGTTACATAGATCTTAACAAAATCATTATACCCTGGTTTCCCATTTTCAATGAGTTCAGGGTATTAAAAGAAGAAAAAAAGTCGAAAAACGCGAAGCGGAGGCAGACATTGCCAGCAAACAAAACGCACACGCCTCCGTCAGGCAAAGCCCGCACCCACCCCACCCACCGTCCGCCTGCGCACTTGCCAGACTGTGCGATTGTGTCCTATCTATGGCTACCGAACAGTTGTACACCCTCACACCCCCTTTGCCTAGCCGCTACTGGTGCTGCTGCTACTGCTGCTGATTCTGCCTCTGCTTCTTCTTTCGCGATACACCTACGCTCTTGTAAATTCACGAATGCACCCACAGTGAGAGGGGTCGTTGGTTTGCTTGGCTTGGTCTCAGCTCAAACTCCTCAAGTAGCGCAAAGAGAAGCAGCTCCTGCTGCCATCACCCAACAGCCACCCCCACCCACCACCGTCCGCCCTCCATTGCCACCACCATCGTTGCCATTGCCATCGAAATGACGAGGCCGCCTAGCCTACCCGTTACCATCCCTTCGTGGCTTGTGTGGCTGGGTATTAAAAATAAATTCAAAAAGTTTTGTATTTATTTTGTTGGGCTTTCTGTTTCTGGGCAAACGCGACATCTTTTAGTAAAATTACTTTTCGTACTTAACCTCACTTTGACGGCACAGTGAACTTGTTTTCGGCTTACAGCTAGGCTAAGTAAATATAAATTAAGTCTCGCTCGTTATACCACTTTCACATTATATAAGTATATTTGTATATATCCGTGTATTAAATGCATATGTATATTTGTAAAATCATTTCCCAAAACTCACCCCAATACACTTGACTCACTCGTACACTCACATACACACACACACACACACACACACTTGATGATGCAGTGGCAACCGCCGAGGACTCACCGCTGGCAATGAAACTGAAGAAAACCTGGCTTAGAACACCGGTGGGCGAGGAGCAGGCGGCGCAAGCTGTGCTCGATCCCTCAATAGGTACAAAATGGCAAAGCAGTTCAATAAATAATTACAATAATAATAATAATAAGCAATACGACTGTAGTTGAAATCTTCTGTTGGGAATGCATAGATATATATTTTTCTTTAATTATTATTTCGTTTTCATGATTTTGTAATAATTCTCTTCATTTAAATGCTATAAAGTAGAGCACCAAAACTTGGTACTGATCTAGACAACATATTATATATTGGATATAAGAACTGTAAATTAACTTTAAAAACTGAAACAAAATTATTATTGTACAGTGAAATACAGTAAACTCACACTATTGAGTGAATTATGAATGTAATTGATTGAAAATTGATAGTTGAAAATTTCAAGATTGGCTATTGTTCGTCAGCAGAGTCTTCACTGTATTTTACTTACACGACTTTTTGCTAAGGTCAGTACCAGTACAATGTAGTCTAGTTACGAACACCGAATTGGTTATGCAATCGTTGTAATTGGCTCTATAACATAGTTCTCTTAGTGCTCGTATGTAATGTCTGATATTTGCACGGCTCTATCTTGGACTGCAATTGCTTATATAGATTTGATTACGTTTGCTTTGCAGCCGCACTCGAAGAGGAACGCACCAGTCCGACGCAAGCGTCTGCCGCCAGCGCTACCAACAATTCCAGCACCAATAACAATACCAACAATAATAACAATAATAATAATAGCAACAATAATAACAGCGCTGCGAGCGGCGCTGCTGCTGCGGCTGCGGGTGGTGCTGCTGGCGGCGATGGCGAGAAGAGCGACGCGCTAACCAGCAAACAGCGGTACCAGATCAAGCATCGGGAGCTGTTTCTATCGCGCCAAGTTGAGTCGATACCCGCCACACAGATCCGAGGGAAGTGCTCCGTGACGCTGCTCAACGAGACGGAGTCACTGCAAAGCTATCTCAACAAAGACGTGAGTTGAATAGAAACTGAGTGAATTAGCTAAATTTGATTATATATTTATTATTTTTCCATAGGACACATTCTTCTACTGTCTGGTCTTTGATCCGAATCAAAAAACGTTGCTTGCCGACAAGGGCGAAATACGTGTCGGCAGTCGCTATCAGTGTGATATACCCGCCAAGCTAAAAGATACCGCCACAGATGAACGTAAACTGGAGGAGCTGGAATCGCTTGTCTGGACGCCGGAGCATAGTTTGACCGATCGCAAAATCGATCAATTCCTTGTTGTCTCGCGTTCCATTGGCACCTTCGCGCGCGCCCTCGACTGCAGCAGTTCAGTAAAGCAGCCCTCGTTGCACATGTCCGCAGCTGCCGCTAGTCGAGACATTACGCTGGTGAGTGGATCAAGATAGAATTAATGAAGGGCAAGTCCATTTAATAATATTTTTGATTTCCCTCTGCTTCTAGTTTCACGCCATGAACATTCTGCACCAGCACAATTATTCAATTGATGAGGCCATGTCCTCGCTAGTTCCTTCCACTGGGCCAGTGCTCTGTCGCGACGAAATCGAAGATTGGAGCGCATCGGAAGCAAATCTCTTTGAAGAAGCGCTAGATAAATATGGCAAAGACTTTAATGACATACGACAAGATTTTGTAAGTCAAAGCAAGTTGTACACAAAATTATCTTTAGTAATTATTATATTCCCATTTAACAGCTTCCTTGGAAGACGCTTAAACAAATCATTGAATACTACTACATGTGGAAGACCACCGATCGGTATGTGCAGCAGAAACGCGTTAAGGCTGTCGAAGCGGAACTCAAGCTCAAACAAGTCTATATACCGCAATATAATAACAATGGCAAAGGCAACGGTGCTAGCGTGAAGGCCGGCAGTGGCGGCGGAGCTGGTGGCATCTACAACGGCACCACCAATGGCGGCGCTGACTTATCCAACAATGGAAAACCGTGCGAGTCGTGCGGGACAACTAAATCATCACACGTAAGGCAATTGGAGGCGAAACTTTTTGATCAATTATTACTAATTGACTCATCTGATTTGATTACAGTGGAATTCCTTTACCAATGGCCATCTGCCATGTCGATTATGTCAGAGCTGTTGGGAGTATTGGCGGAAATATGGCAGTATGAAATCTGCGCATAAGGCCGAAGCTAACGATGGCGAGTCCAAGAAGAAGGCTGCCATTGCCGCAGCGACTCCAGTAGCAGCGTTAGCTACAGCAGGCGCCACCACCACTGTGGTTGATCTTAACGATGATGACAAAGTTAGTGATCTAAGCAATCGTCAATTGCACAGGTATGATTAGCGTGTGTATCCAAATAGATATATATTGTATATTAATGTTGCTATACGAATTGTAGGTGTTCCATTGTGAACTGTGGCAAAGAGTTTAAGCTGAAGACCCACCTGGCGCGCCATTACGCACAAGCGCATGGCATTGCCATCAGTTCAGGTTCGCCGCGGCCCATCATGAAGACGCGCACTGCCTTCTACTTGCACACGAATCCCATGACACGTGTGGCACGTATTATCTGCCGAAGTATTGTGAAACCCAAGAAGGCAGCGCGGCAAAGCGCATACGCAATCAATGCGCTCTTGGTCAAACAAGAATGTAATTTAAATCCGTTTATTTTAATTAATATGTTATTAACTTTAACATTTTAATTGTAGTTACGAATCGTATTAGCGGCAAATCGCCGGCGGATATTAAAAAGATGCTTTTGCTCAAGCCCAAGGATCGGGGAAGTGTCACAAAAATTGCAAATCGATTGGGCGCCCCAGGAAGCGGTCCGCATGAATGGCTGGTGCTGACGCCCAAGGATAAAATGCCACAGCCCATTGTTGTCTCATTCCCTAAGCCGCCCAAAGGACCAGACGGCAGCTTACTCTACGATCGCGTGCCCAATAAAACACCCGATGTGGTCGCCGTGCCCGTTGTGGCTGACAAAGAACTAACTATAATTCCAGCGCAAGCAACATCTACGATACGCAAACGTGTGCATGAGGAACAGCAACTCAATGGCACCGAAGGTGATTTAAACAATTAACTTTGAAAATAACGAGAGTTAATATGAATATTGTTTTTTGCATTCGTAGTAACTATTGTGCCCAGTGGGCCGCCAGCCAAACGTCCCAACAAGGATCCCATGCCCTCGCATTGCCCCAGTCCGGAGCAGTTTGCTGCCATGATGGCAGCATCTGGTCAGCCCCTCTCTAGACATCACGTAAGTGTCATGTCAGCTGTTACTATTCCAATAATTATAAATTTCATCCAATATTGTTACAGCTTAATGGCAAGCAAAAGATTGCGCAAATGGCACGTGGCGGCAATGGACGCAAGCAGGTTATCAGTTGGATGGATGCACCGGACGATGTTTACTTTAGAGCCACAGACGTACACAAGTGAGTGCCAATTATTTATTGATGCACAATCGCCATATTTTATTTAAACTTTCCTTGTTCACAGAAAAACACGAAAAATACTCTCAGCTGTGGATCTGCGTCGTGCGGCGCGCAAACCATGGCGTTCACTGCCTATCAAGTCAATGGCCCCCGAGCCGAGCAGCAAACCTATTGAATCACAAATCGTAATACTGGACTGACCGTCTTCAGCAGATACATCAGCATCAGCATCAACACCATATGCAGCAGCAGCAGCAGCAGCAGCAACAGCGACAAAGTTGCTGTCATATTCAGCCAACAGATTTGAGCAGCAACAGCAACATCCTCCATTTCCATATACAATGGATGCATTGCTAAACTAGTGACCCACATTCTGTCTTTCAGTGGCTTGCCATGTACATACATACATACAACCATACAAACATCCCCTGCATGCTAAAAACAAAAACAAAGAAAAAAAACTAACAAAAAAAGAAACCCAAAAAAAAAACAACAACAATATACATACATACATACATCTAGTGTAGGCAAGTGTTGCAGCATCCACTATACATATGAAGTTGGTAACCATTTCACTAACAGAAAACCAACAACTGACAGCAACAAGAAAACCCACTTTACTAGCGCTTAAATAGATGTCTTTTTAAACAAAACAAAAATTTAAGAACAAAACAAATAGTAAGATAATAAGTGTTAAGATTGAAAGCAATAGTAAACACAACGCGAAACAAATCAAATATTTATTCATAATTTACATAATTTTTACAATTTTTTTTAAATCTCACAAAAAATAAGTTCACTGCAATTTTGGACATGTATGAGAAACTCAAGGAATAATAAGTTCATTGTTTCTATATTAGTTTATGTGTTGTAGGCATTTTATAATAATTCTTAATTATTATTATTATTTTTTATTGCATTGTCCAATTTTCATAAGCGCATACATTTCAACATTATGTACATTGTGTGTACATCATGTATGCCAAATTATTTTAATTTGTCTAATCTATTTTAACTGGCTACCACGCGCCTTCAGGTTCCAAAAAACAAAAATACAAAGCACAATTCCTCGATTTTAATTCTGTTGAGCAAATGTTTGTTGCATCCTAGCTAAACACCAGAATACGTAAATTTGTAGTTCAAAGGCCTCCGTAATTTTCAAATATTTTTTATTCAAAATTTGAATATGCAAATCATAGACGAACGATATTTGAGAAATTCATTTAATGCTTTAAGTATCACAACTTACAAAAAAAAAAAAAAAAAAAAGGAAAAGTAAAAGTGAAAAATTGAGAAAATTTACCTTGTTAATTAATGTGACGTGCAAGATTATTTAAAAAATTAATTATACGCTGTAACGAGAAGCGGATAACCACCACAAATTGTACAGTAATTGGGATAAAGTTTATAACTTCGAATACAATTTATTTTCATAATTTATATACAAATTGAAAATCGATAATTTCAAACCAATGCAAAATAGACAACACAAAAACCAACATAAACACAAATATAGCATATTTTATTTACGCCTATAGAAATACATAAATAACAAATCTAAATCACATAATATACATTTATAAATGTATTGAGCATATAAATAATACAATAATAAAATAAACAATTTGGCAGATGACAAGTAAAATCTAAAAGTAGATCAGCATTAAAAAGATTTCAAGAAAAAAAAAAAACGGAAAAAAAATGAGCAACCACATTTATATATATTGATTATAAAGAAATTCTAATTGTAAGCCAATCTATGTATTTTTAACTTTACAATTTAAGTAATTTTGTAAAATAAAAAATTCTTTAAATTAAATCAAGATAAGTGACAAAAACAAAAGAAGACGGAGAAATAGAAAAGGAAACGAAAACAACAGCAATTATTGATGTCAGCAAAAACGACCAGATAAAACATATTTGTTTACGATTTATAAAGTAAGCGCGCGTATGCCAGCAACAGAAGCAAATCAAACAGAGCTACATATATACAACATTATATACAGATATATATACACACATACAATATAATAGTACGAACTCTGCAATACGCATATATACATTTTTACCGAGCAGAATGCTAGAAATCCTCATGGTTTTCGTGGGTTTGGGACGGGGGTACAAGAAACCGAAAAGTTTTCCAAATAAAGTTTTAAAACTTAAAAATTTTTCCTAAAAAAATAATGCTAAACTTTAATTGATAATATTTGTTTACATGCAACAATTAGGGCTTAACAAGTTTTTGTATTTAAACATATATAAATATATTATTTTCCAGTGTAGCTGGCAATGCAGAGGGAGGCGTTGGTGCCACCGAATCCAAAGGAGTTCTTGAGTGCAATGCGCTGTACCGATTGATCCTCTGACCATTTGCACGATTTGGTCACCACGTTTACATCCACGTCCAAGTGATCAACATTGATCGAGGGCGGCAATTGGTTTTCTGCACACGCATGCACTACGAACAGTGCTTCCAGATTGCCCGAGGAGCCAAGCAGGTGTCCATGTGCGCCTTTGGTCGAGGAGACAAACACCTTGGGTAAATGATCGCCAAAGACACGGCCAATGGCATGCGCCTCAATACGATCGCCGGTGGGCGTGGATGTTGCATGGGCATTGACATAGCTAATGTCCTGGGCCTTGACGCCGGCATCTGCGATGGCACGCTTCATGGCCAACGTTGCGCCAGCGCCATCATCGCTAGGCGACGTAATGTGATGTGCATCACCGGACAAGCCGTAGCCTAGTATCTCGGCCAATATGGGTGCACCGCGAGCACGGGCATGCTCCAGCTCTTCCAGAAGCAGCACTGCGGCACCTTCGCCCATCACAAATCCGTCACGCGCTTTATCAAAAGGTCGCGAGGCCACGGCGGGGTTATCATTAAACGTAGTGCTGAGGGCGCGCAGCCTACAAAAGCCGGCTATCGATAGGGGGTCTATGCAGGCCTCCCCACTGCCGGCTAGCATGAGATCAGCATCGCCGTTCCGTATAAAGCGCAGGGCATCACCAATAGCATGTGCGCCGGTTGCGCATGCTGTTGACACGGAATGATTTGGTCCCTGCAGGCCATGTCGCATGCTGATGTGTCCACACGCCATGTTCGGCAGCAAGCGAGGCACAAAATATGGACTAACACGATTGTAGCCGCGCTGCAGCTGCTGAAATGCTCCATAGACCTCGGCTAGATCGAACATGCCCATGCCGACGCAGACACCAAAACGTTCCCGCTGCTCTTCACTCAGTTCGCTGGGCTTCAGCTTTGCGGCGGCCAGAGCCTCATCGGCTGCAATGATCGCAAACTGCGTGGCAGGACTCATGAGTTTGATATCACTTTTGCTCAGATGTTTGTCTATCTGAATGCGTTCCCTTGGTATTTGTGCCGCCACCTGACAAGGCAGGCCCTTGAATTCCGCTCCCAGTTTAGAAATTGCGGATTCACCCGCCACCAAACGCTGCCACGACTCGGACACATTATTACCCAGTGGTGTCACTGCGCCACTACCTGTTATAACCACACGCCGGCGTGAACCTTGCGTTGATGCTCTTCGTATTTGCGATATCAAACGCATGTTGTAACGGCAAATCTAACAGAAAATTTATACGAACAAAAACAGCTGATAAGACAGTGCTGTGCTGCCACACTTTTCAATAAATGCCGCATGCTGTGGATGGGCTCGTTGTGTAAGCTTACGTGACACGACGCGTCGTGTTACTTCTGTAAACATCGTGTTTAATGAGCTTTAGCAAAAAATAAAATAAAATAAAATAAAGAGTATACATGCAGTAGAATCCGGCTATAACAATTCCGCTTATAACGTCCGACTGTTACTGCAATGAAAATTCTGATCCCCAGACAAATTTTTATGTGCAAACTTCGGGTACAGCCCGATCCATTGAGCGTCGTTATAGCCGGATTCTACTGTATATAAAAATTATAATTATGTAGGAAGGAAAACCTTACAAATAAAAATATTTTATTTAAAAACATTTAATTAAAAAATCTTGGTATTGGCTTTTCAGTTGTTTTGAAAAAGTTAAAAAGTTTTTTTTTTTTTTACTATTTTTTACACAACCTGATAGCTAATACTAATTTTGATACATTTGTTATCTCAAATATTCATATGCATGTATGTATATAAATAATTGTTTAATCGTCATGATGAGTTCAATTTGGATTAAATCATAATTATCACTTAAAAGCGCTACTTAACAGTAAACAACAATATTCGACTTGAGGAAGGTGCTATTAATATTTGATAAGATAAAGAAAAACAAAATATAAAAGCAGATACACGAGCATATGCTTGAAGTGATTGTTTCATAAAACAGAGGTAGAGAAAGAGAGAGAGAGACACAGAGAGAGTGAGAGCCGGCAGTAAATACAAAATGCTCAAATGCAAATCTCTTAAAAAGTTCGCTCAGAACCGGCTGATAGCTTATGGGTTCTGTATTCATGTGTTTATATAGATGGAGGCAAATACTCTCGGGACTTCCAGTGCTGTGCTGTTCTTTGATCAACTACGACGTACTTAAAAAATATTTTGGAGATGTCGAAAGAAGGCACGGCTCATTATTTATTCCGCTGATAGCTTACGTTTATTATTGTTTTCTTCTTTTTGCATTATTTACTCTTTAGCTTGTTGCCATGGCCCCGGCTATGCCACACCACTGGATGCCTTGAAAAACGGACCTAGGGAGACACTACTGTACACGGTGACAATTCAACCCAACTTGGATGAGCCGCATGGCGACTATCTATCAACCATCGATGTGGACCCTGATAGTCCCACTTATAGCCAGGTAAGCAAATATACTTGTTTGCTTTGTTGTTATTGTATTCTAATATTTTTGCATACGTAGGTTGTCCATCGCACTTTTACGAATCGCAAGGGCAATGAGTTGCATCACTCTGGCTGGAACGCCTGCTCCAGCTGCTACTATGTGGACAAGAATGCGAAGAGTGTGCCAAAGAGGAATCGCCTGATATTACCAGCTTTGAATTCCGATTTCATTTACGTTCTGGACGTGGCTACCGATCCGCGCAAGCCGGAAATTGTCAAGGTCATCGACGGGGAAGTGCTGAAGAAGCATAATGTTACTGCTCCACACACGACCCACTGCTTAGCCAATGGAAATATCATGATATCTGTAATGGGTGATGCTGAGGGCTATGCCAAAGGAGATTTCATTCTGTTCGATTCGGAATTCAATTGCGTCGGCACCTGGACAAAGGGCGGCAGAAAAGCACTTTGCGGCTACGATTTCTGGTATCAGCCCTACTATGATGTCATGGTATCCACCGAATGGGGAGCACCTAATAAGTTTAGACGGTAAGCTCGAATGGGACATCCATGACCAGCTTTATATCTTTCTTCTATAGTGGCTGGAAAAATGAAGATCTGGAGGATATGACGCAGTATGGCTGCAGGCTAAATTTTTACAAATGGTCCACGCAAACATTATACCAAACAGTAGATCTGGGTGTGGAGGGCACAACACCTTTGGAGGTTCGATTCCTACACGATCCGAAGCGTCCGGATGGCTATGTGGGATGCGCCTTATATGCCAAGGTCTTCTACTTCAAGAAGAGAGCCGACTCCGATGAGTTTGATGTGAAGAAAGTCATTGATATACCCAACAAGCTCGTCGATACGGGCAGTGGTGTCGCCTCCGAGATGGGTGGTATGATTTCAGATATAATAATATCATTGGATGACCGATTCCTATATGTCAACTGTTGGATGCATGGCGATGTGAGGCAATACGATATAACCATACCGGATCAACCCAAACTAGTGTCGCGTGTATGGCTAGGAGGCGCCATATGCAGCGATCTGCCCAATGTTATCGTTAAGGAAGATAAGGAATTGACCGTATGCGCTATATTCATATATAAATCCATATATAATGCTTTTTGTAATTTGATATGATGCAGGAAAGGCCGCCTCCGTGCATCATTAAGGGTCGTCGCCTGGAAGGAGGCCCACAGATGATGCAGCTCTCTCTGGATGGCAAACGCTTATATGTCTCCTCCTCACTATACTCACCGTGGGACAAACAGGTGCAAAGCAATCGAAGGCATTGCAAATGACAGTTCATTAAGTTCATTTTTTCACAGTTCTATCCCAAAATGGCCTCCAAGGGCGGACATGTGGTCCTCATTGATGTCGATATGGTCAATGGCGGGATGACCTTGAATAAGGATTTCCTGGTTGACTTTGGTAAGGAACCTTATGGACCCAGTCTGCCGCATGAGATGCGCTACCCAGGTGGAGATTGTACCTCAGATATTTGGTTAGCCAAAGATTCTTAAAAGCGAAAGCAATGAAATTCTCTAATCTGCGCAATAAAAAATATTTTTCAATACTCATTATTCACATCACGTAAAATAATAAGTTTCTAGACAGGTGAAGTTAACGGTTTTCGCACTGCAATACATAAATATGCCTTAGATAATTTTATTGGATGCGAGACACTTTTTAAAAATTAGTTACAGAGTTATGTAAATTAAATTTGCTTATGCTTTTGATAAGAGTGTGGAAACGCCTTTTGACAATAATATAGTTCAAAGCAGTGTGGCAACTACACGCCACCCAACCGGGTCGAAAAAGTATTTAAATCCAATCTTTAACCGCTTTAAATTTGTTAAAATACATAGCGGATTAAAGTTAATCGATCTTTTGATTTCAACTAAAAAAAGAAATTCGGCTCTGGCCCCGCTTGAGCCTTTTTATATATTGTTTCCACGGGTAGCTGTATTAAGGTATATATACGATTAACGCTGCAATAATTTATAATATAATTTGTTAATGATAT